CATACATACATACATACATACATACATACATACATACATACATACATACATACATACAAGCATGCATCATGCATGCATGCATGTATGCATGTTATTTTCCATTGTGATACTAAAACAAAAAAAAAAATGTTGGAAAATCTGAGGAATTAAAAGGGATTATGATTTTTTTGTGCTTTAAAGGACAAATGTATCTCATTTACTATGTTTAATGGGTGGAACTACTGGAAATTTTACCTAAAATTTATGCAGACTAAACCAAAAATATAGTGGCTCAGAAAAATGCCTCATTTTTTTATTTTGTATTTCTTTAATTGAAAACCTATCAAGTGTGGCACATATCAGTGTCCCTCTGTAGCGGGACATTCAAAAATGAAATCCTGTGCAACCCAGTTCCTTCTGAAGTGTGCAAGACGTCCGATTTTTGTTGTAGGAGAACATCAGTAAACCATCAGCATCATGAATACATAGCAGACAAGTCATTGAGCATTTTTGTGGAGAGGTTTGAAGCAAGTTGAGCATGTAAAGCAATATTGTAATCTCGTAAAAAATCCCAAGGAGTTCAATCCGTTATTTAAAAATTTAAGAAGATACCAAGACATGGCCCAACACTGACAGGCCGGGTGAGAAGATTTGTTAGGAAAGGCTCATGCTAACTCTGGAGGAACTGCAGAGATCCACTGCTCAGGAGGGACAATCTGTGACAAAACAACCACTAATGCTCATACATAATCAGAAAGGACATAGATTTCCCCCCCTCTCTTTTTGTGTTAGGTACATCATTAGTGCAAAACCTTTTCCTTGTGAGGCGTCTGACAAAGATTATATACAAATGCTGCCAAACAAAGAGAGTTCTGCATTTGTGGTCCTGAGAAATGGGAACTTTCTCAGGATCACACAAAAAACTTTGGTTAGCCCGAAAGAACTTTGTTCTCGCCACCTTTACCACTAACTAAAAGAAATATATCTCTGTTTTTGTCTAGTATGCATTAGCTTTCATGCACTCCATAAATCTGCCCTTTGTGACATGAAAAAAATATTTTAAAAGAGAACCATATGGCTTCCTTTTATTTTTTGCTGTTTGCCACAAGTTTTATGGCAACACATCGACCATGTGGAACAGACTACTCTGGTCACATTAGAAAAAAGTTAAATGTTTTTGCCTGTATATAAAACCCTATGTGCTTTAGAAAACAAACCCTGTACATGAACTTGACCAAACTATTCCCACCATGAAACACAGTGGTTACACAATGTGATTTGGGGATTTCTTTTTGTGCAGCAGAGACCTGAAGGCTGTTTAGTGTTAATTGGTAGATTCATGGAGGCAATCGTAGAAGATAATCTGTAAGAGGCTGCAAAAAAATTTAAAACAGTCCAGTCGGGGTCAGAAAGAAAATCCAAATAGGAATGTGTAGAGAAGACTTGTACTGTAATGATCTTAGACACTCCATGCAGCCTGACTGAAGCTTTTCTGAATACAAGAATTAAAAAAAAAGAGCTTTTATCTTTTTCCTCTCACATCTGAATGCTGCATTATTTATGTTGTTTTTACTGCACAGAAATTAAATAAATACTCTGAACTTTTAGATTTTCAAGTTCAATTATCACTGACACTTTTGTAAATTAATAATTTTATACAAAGAATACAGCTTGAATAAAAAAAAGCCCTAATCCTCACACGTCAACATAGCAAAAATGAAGAGTAAAAAAAAAAATATATATATATATATATATAAAAACCTAAGAATAGAAAAAATAAATAAGGAAAAGATTGTTTGATTTTATTGAATGAATTCACCAACCTTCATGTGTTTGAGTGGAGCCTGTTTGCATCCTCCATGACAAAGCCACACAAAGTAGCAGGACTTGCTGCTGGTCCATGTTGTTTAATCAGTTTACCGAGATCTCAGCATGTCACACACTGCTTCAGATTGTCAGATTCACTTGATTTTTTAAAAAGTCGCCTATTTTTTGTAAAAAGTAAAAAAGGGAAAGATTTTTTTTTTAAATTACTAAATCTGAATTAAATGTAACCCGTCTATCCAAACATTAATATAAGGAGCAGACTGATGGATCTAACCAATTCCCCCGAAAACCGCGAATAAGCTACAGTTTAGTCTCATTGTGGAATTTCCCTGGAGAAAGGGGAGTCTGATTGGCCCAAGGCCACAATTATTGACCAATCAGAAGCTGGTCCGTCTTTTTTCCCCCCATGCAAGATTTCGGGTAGTAATCTCTACATGACCAAGAAATGGAAAGAAAAAAATTCTTACATAGAAACACCCTACATGCTAAAAGCATAAAATAAAAGATTGGTCAAATTAAGCCCAGATTATCCCTTCTGTGGATGGTCTTTATGTCCGTTGAGTTGTTTTCGTTCAGCTTCTGCATCAGCTCTCTGGAGCCTGAGTGGACGCACTGTTTTCCCTGTAAAGAGCAGTATTGTCCGACGGGACCCCGTCAGCTGGTTAATCACCTCTTTGATGCGTATGGTGCGGCCTGTCACAAAGGCCACATTGTCTAATACTCAAGTGACTTCTGAACCCAAAACAAGAGCAAGCTTAATTTGGGAAAAATGGCTTCAGAGAAGACTCAAATTCCTGGACATGAATCTGGAAGAGAGAAGGGAGACTAATCCATATAATCGCTCCTAATGGACGGGTTATCAGTTAGTGCTTCAGACAGATATGCTCCTAATCTTATTTATGAAAGAGAAGCAATAGCTGCAAAAAGTTCCTTGTTCATGACAGATGTAAGGATGCAACAGACTAATTTGGGGGGGTGGGGGGGGATGTCAAATCTGTAGGAATTGAACACAAGCGCCAAATCGGATAAAACTGGGCGTAACAAAAGAGCAAAGGGGAAATAAGCAACATTTCACCACTAGGCAGCCCTGTTGAGCACTGTCTAAGCAAGATGTGGACAAGATCTACCTACTTTTTCACCATTACGTCATGCTCTCATATTTCCACAAAAACATACAAAATAAAACAAGCACAAAATAAATGCAAAGCAAAAAAGCATCAACTTTGGGAAAACATGCCTAGTGAAAATTTAATAGCTCATAATTTTACAATGCTTTCATCACTATAACTTCAGTTTGGCACATGGTCATCTCGGTGTGAACAATTCAGAACTAACTGATGTTTAATTCAGGGCAAACAAACGGGCTGGTGGACTTTCACAGGTGCAGATTACCCTGAGAGCAATAAACATCTTGGGGACTGGTGTTGAGAAAATAGTATTGCACTGTTGTGACTGTTCACCTATAATAAATCGAACTGGAGTAACAACACTGATCTCCTTTACAGTTTGGGTCAGAGAAGACTGTACTTGCTGAGGTCCCAAAGTTCTTTTGCAGAGGGGGTGCTTCTAAAAACCTTTATTTGACTCTGTGGTGGCATCAGCCATCTTTAAAAGCATGTTATATTGGAGCAGCAGCTGAGAGGAAGTAATTGGATATTAATTAGGAGGAGTAGCGCTGTCTTTGGATAGCCCCAACACAGTGCAGGTGGTCAGAAACAGCAAAACAGTAGAATTTGTTTTTTATTTTTGTGCCTTAAAATAATAAATCCTATTGAAGTAAAGTTGACCTAGGATTTCATAATGCATGCATTAAAAGGAAAACATTTTAAAATATAAGGAAAATGTATTCACATTAAACAGTCCAAAATTGTCATTTTGCCAGAGTAATAAGTAGATCAGCTGTTTTAAAGGATATTCAGTTTGTTTCTATAAAGGTTGATGCTTGGTTGTATGTAAGTTGATGCTGTTGATGACACAGTGGATGATGAAAATTACCTTCTGCTGCTGCCATACTCAGCTGACTGTCATCACATCAATAATGTTTGTACAAAAAATGATATTACATCTATATGTATGTCCATTTTTTTGTTTTCTTTTGATTTTGACTGGGATTTCCACATAAATAAGGTATAACAGATTAAATATTCACAAGGAAACTTTAAAATCACCACTTTGGATGTCTAAGACACATCAAATGCCTACATGTTTGTCTATGACTTCATTTTCTACACAACATAAAAAGTATTATGTCATTAATATCAAGAAAAACACCTTCCTTTAATGAGGAAGTGAATGGCTATAGCATCAGGTCAATTCACCAGCAGAGCATTCTGGGATTTGTAGTGTAAGTGGTGAATGTGCTATTAAACAATGGGCCAGCTCTAGTTAACACAAATGTGATGACAACTAAATGAAAATGAATTCAGCCTCAGATGAAATTAGATTATTACTTCCCAATCTGAAAACTGATACTGAACGCTTTTCTTCAGTTAGAAGGAAGATATGTTTTTTTTTTTTTCCAATGAAGCTAAGACAAATTGAAGGACACTTTGGTTTACTGAGATATTTATGGACATTTTATGTAGCATCTATTGGTCAAGCAGGTTTTAACCAAATAAATAAAACATGTCAAACATTTTTATGTTTTTTATCACAATTCTAACTTGG